AGGACACGGGTTCAATTCCCAGCACCCACATGGCAGCTGACAACTGTCTGTAACTCCAAGATCTGACACCTTCACATAGACATACATGCAGGCAAAAGCACCAATGCAAATAAAATAAAAATAAATAAATTATTTTAAAAAATAATAAATAAAAAATTAAAAAAAGAAAAAGCATATTTTAAGTTGGACAGTGGGGCTGCACACCTATAAGCCTAGTACTTGGGAGGCAGAGGTAGAAGGATCTCTGTGAGTTCGAGGCCAGCCTGGTTTACAGAGCGAGTTCTTGGACAGTCAAGCTACACAGAGAAATCCTGTCTTGAAAAAAAACGAAAAAGAAAGCAAGCAAGCAAGCATATTTTAACAATTTAGTCATTCTGGAAATGCTGGGTTTGTGTGTGTACATGTTACCATACCATAGCACACAGATGGAGGCCAAAGGATAACTTTCAGGAGTCACTTGCCTCTCTTTACCATGTCGGTTCCAGGGATTGAACTCACGTCATCAGGCTTGGCAGTGAGAGTCTTTTCCTACTAAACCATCTTGCCTGGTCCCTGCTTTTTTGTTGTTGTTGTTGTTGTTTGTTTGTTTGTTTTTTAAATTGGATACTGCATATATGAGTTCCACTAGTTAAGTGCTAGATATTTTTTGTTTGTTTTTTGGTTCTTCAAGACAGGGTTTCTCTGTGTAGCCTTGGCTGTCCTGGAACTCACTCTGTAGACCAGGCTGGCCTCGAACTCACAGAGATCCAGCTGCCTCTGCCTCCTGAGTGCTGGGATCAAAGGTGTGCACCACCACTGCCCAGCTGCTAGATAATTTTGTAATCCTTTAGGTATTAGCTTCTTCTGGGATGCAATTTAGTTATTTGGAAACGGTTTGATCTTTTGGGGTCTTGATTGCAATATTAAGTGTGATCAAGGCACTTCTTAGTTTTGGGCTAATTTTCCTCCAATACTGAAGCAGTATTCTTCTGTGTACTCTACTAAATGCCCTGGGAATCACAAGGCATCTTAGTCATCATGGAGGGACCAGATGGTATTCCTGGGCCTGTGTGAGCCCTAAACATGGTTTTCTCTAGCTCTTCAGAGTATTTCCCCCCTTATCTTAAGGTAGTTTCTTTGCATGCTCATATCATTGAGTGCTCAGCTCAATGCTTGAACATCACTGTCCATGCAGCAATCCTCCTGAGCACTCTGCTCTACAAAGTCTGGCTTCTGAAGTCTCCTCAGATTCAGTTCCTTCTCTTTGCAGGACTCTATTGGTTTGTTTCCCTGTTCTATGACCTGAAAACTGTCTAGACAGTAGTTTGTGGAAATCCTATCTTATTGTGGAATATTTTTTTTTTTTCGAGACAGGGTTTCTCTGTATAGTTTTGGTGCCTGTCTTGGATCTCGCTCTGTAGACCAGGCTGGCCTCAAACTCACAGAGATTCTTGTGGCTCTGCCTCCCAAGTGCTGGGATTAAAGGCATGTGCCACCACTGCCCCAGAGAATAATCTTTTTGTACACTGTGAAGATGTGTCTCTCTGAGTTAATAAAAAGCCGAACGGCCAATAGCTAGGCAAGATTTCTGGGCAGGGAGGACACTGGGGAGAAGAAGGGAAGACACCAGGAGATGCAGAGCAAGCAGGGTGGGCAGTACGGAGATAAGATGTGAATTAATTTAAGAGCCAGTTAGTGTTTAGGTGGAAGCCCTACCAGCACCCATATACCCAAGGAGTCTGGGATGTTTAGGTGGAAGCCCCACTTTGGTCCCACCTCTCTCTCCCCAGACCCGACCCCTCAGAAAGCCCGCCAAGAATCAGCTCCTCCCTGGGGCTGCTCAAGACCAGCCTAAGGCTGTTTAACACCTGGTCACCAGGTCTGCCAGTACTCTCCCTCCTACCTTCCTGAGAGTCACCTGGGAGTTCCTTCACTCTGCTTATTAAACCTGGACTTATTAATTTGGCTTGACTGGTTTATTGCTTCGGCGGAGGATACCCAATAACCAGGGATCCACCTACGTGGTCCTATTCTTTTGTTTTGTTTTGTTTTCTTTTCTTTTCTTTTTTCTGAGACAGGGTTTCTCTGTGTAGTTTTGTGCCTTTCCTGGATCTCGCTCTGTAGACCAGGCTGGCCTCGAACTCACAGAGATCCGCCTGCCTCTGCCTCCCGAGTGCTGGGATTAAAGGTGTGCACCACCACCGCCCGGCTTTTCGTTTGTTTTCAATCCCAGGGGTCACTATCCTGCATTGCCTGGTCCCCCTTTGAATCGTTTCCTTTACCCCCATTTTTGTTTTCAGATGGCTAGGTGTTGCTTGTATTCTATATGGTATTAATAAAAAAAACCGGAGCCAGATATCGGGGTAAATGCTGAGAGATCAGAGAGACAAAGGAACAAGCCACTAGAGAAACTTCTCACCTCACCAACTCCATGAATCCTCTGACTGAAAACCTCTGAGTCCTCAGCCAAAAGGGGTTCCAGCCAAAAAGGCTTAGTTCCTGTCTCCTCACGTCTTATACACTCTTCTCTGCCCAGCCATATCATTTCCTTCCTAGTGCTGGGATTAAAGGAGTATGCTCTCCCCAAATACTGGTAGCAAAGGCATGAGATCTCAAATTCTGGGATTAAAGGCCTTTGACTCCCAAGTACTGGGATTGAAGGTGTGTGCCACCACTGCCTGGCATTTATGTTTAATCTAGTGGCTTGTTCTGGTCTCTGATCTTCAGGCAAATTTTATTAGGGTACACAATATATCACCACAGTTAGGTAAATCCAATCCCTTTAACTACAGGGGAACAAGGCTTTACAATGTTTTCAATGTCCAACCACATCCTAGATAGACAATTAAATCCAGATCTTTGGAGGCAGCTACATTAACCCCTTAGGCTATTCCATCATTCACCCAAAATAGGAACCAATAATATCCAATAAGATTCCACTTACAAGTAATTTATTTGAGGACTGGGGTGATGATTCAGTTGGTATGGTCCTTGCCTTACAAATGTGAGGAACTGAATTAAGATCTACAACCCATGTTAAAAGAAAAAAAAAAGCCAGGGGGTGGTGGGGGTACATGCCTTTAATCTCAGCGCACAGATGGCAGAAGCAGGTGGCTCTTTGTGAGTTCGAGGCCAGCCTGGTCTACAGAATGAGTTCCAGGACAAGCCAGGGTTACACAGAGAAACCTATGTAGATCCCTGGACCCTTACAAGCCAGGATGGCCTATGCAGTGAATTTCCAGGCCAATAAGGCCATGTTTCTAACAAAAAGATAAAGGTGTATGAGGATTGATGAGCAAGGTTTCTGCCCTGCACACTCATACACTCTCATACACATACCTCATACCAAAAATAATAATTCATTTGAGAGATAGAAGTGTAGTTCAAGCTGGGAGGTGGTGGCGTATGTCTTTAATCCCAGCACTCAGGAGGCAGAGTCAGGCAGATCTCAGTGATTTTGAGGCCAGACTGGTCTACAGAGCTAGTTGCAGGACAGCCAGAGCTACACAGAGAAACCCTGTTTGGGGGGGGGGGAGTGTAATTCAAGTAGTAAAATATTTGTCTAACATACTTGAAATCTTCAGTTTGATTCCAAGCACCATACATAATAATAACAATAACAATAATAATAATAATAATAACAATAATAATTTGTTTTCAATTGTAATCCCCGAATTTGGGAGCCTGAACCTGGAAGATCATGAGTTTAAGGTCAGCCTGGGCTATTTAATGTGAGACCATTAAAAAACAAAACATCAAGCCTTTCTCTTAACCTGGCTTAGCTGCCGAAGGAAACTACTGGAATCCGTTTGCAAGTTCTGCTGAAAACCTGAATAAAGAAATTGAATGTCCCCTGATCAAAAACACAGAGTTGGTTTCAATCACAGAGCAGGGCGGAGCCTGGGAGCGAGAGTTAAGCCACTCCCACTGTGAGTAGACATTGCTGGGGCGGGGCTGTACCTGACCCTTGGAGGGGGGTTCCTGTTTATCCTACTCTGCGGAGATTTCATATCTGACTCTATTTTCTTCCCCCAGCAGCCGGGAGGCAGAATTCGCTCTCTCTGTTTGGCAGATGAAGAAATGGGATTTGAGAGGTTGAGAAACTTTTCAAAGCGCAAATCTGCAGCACAGTTAAAATTCAAACCTGGTTCCCAGAGGTGGATTAAGGAGCAAAACAACGCTTTGCTGGGCAGCTTCCAGGGGACAGGGAACGTCCGGGAAAGGGCGGAGATGGAGCACAGTTTTTGAACATAGACCTCCTAGCAGATGAGCTAAGAATTACCTGATAAATTCCAGGGTGGGGTGGGGTGGTAGAAACCGGAACCTTCAGGGGCAGGAGCGACAGGGTCCCCACACTGCCTTAGGGAGAGTGGATGGAGGTTCCCTGCAGGGTTCGTCCTTGGGTTGGGGTACTTCGGACCTGAACTCAGAACGAAATTGCTAGAAAATGAAGAGGCCAGCTGCTGCTGCTCTTTTGGCCCTACCTCAGTGCTCCGTTCTCAGTTGATAACGACCACCTAGGGTTGGTGAGGTGGCTCGGTGGGTAAGAGTAGTTACTCTGCAAGTCTGACGACTTAAGTTCGATCCCTGGAACTTGAGATGGAGAAAGAAGTGTCCTCTTTCTCCACAGGCATGCCGTAGCGTGGTGTGCACGCTCGAGAAAGAGCACAGGTGTACGCACCATGATAGCAATGATAAAGAAACAAAGTTTAAATAACTCAATACTATATAACAATGTAGCAACATTGCCCCCATCTGATTGCATAGGCATTCTGAGTGTATGAAGCAGAAGCTATACTCCTCCTCATTTTTTTTCATTTTTCTTTATTAAGAAATTTTCTACTCACTCCACATACTACCTACAGATCCCTCCTCCTCCCACCCCCTAGCCCTCTCTCCCAAGCCACCCCGCATCCCCACATCCTCATTTTTTTTTAAGATAAAAGGCTGATGAGATGCTCAGTGGTTAAAGGTACTTGTCTCCCAAGCCTGCCGACCTGAGTTCGATATCCAGAACCTACCTGGTGGAAGGAGTGAATGGACTCTTGCAAGTTGCCCTCTGACCTTCACATGTGCACCATGGCATGCATGTGCCCACACTCACATGCACACTTTGTACACATACATGATAATAACCTAATAAAATTTAAATGTAAAAAGATAAAGAAAAGAAGGAAAAATTACTACAAAACTTGACAGCTTAAAACAATAAGACAGTTATCTTACCTGTTTTCTGTGATTCTGGAATTCTCATGAGGGTCTAGTGAAGATGTGAACTAGGGCTGTGGCATCTAGAACCCTGAGTGGGTTTAGGGGTGGGGGTCCAGTTCTGAGGGACTCATGCGCATGACTGGCAAGTCAGTTGGCCGTTGGAGGGGTCTTCGTACTTGCTTATGGTCTGACTGCCTCTTCTAAAACTCACATTGATGTTCACTTGCTTTTCTGAGACTGTTGAGAGGTTCCGTGAATTGTCAAGAGGTTAATTAGGTCAGGAAGGCCAAACACCAACATTGTGGGAGTGGGTTGATAATCAGAAGCCTGGGTTTGCTCTAAGAGCAAGACCAGCCGCACCCCACCCCTGCTTCAGGCCCTTGCACATGCTCCTGGGCCACATGATTCCCTTTGCTGAGTTATGATGCTTTCAGAAGGGCTGGGCTCTCAGTCCCAGACTCCCTGACCTTGAGGACTTTGAGCCAATTAAACCAATTAAACTTCTTTATAACTTAATGTGTGGGATCATAGCAGCACACAGCTGTGTGGGTCTCTCCACTGGGCTGCCTGTCTGCAGTACATGACAGCTGACGCACCCCGCCCCCCATAGCCGGTGGTTCCAGAGAGCAAGGTAGAACGTCCAGTGGCTTTTTTGATCTCTGGAGTTAGGCTCTCACTTCTGCAATCGTCCAGTGGTTACAGAGGTCAGTCACATTCACACGGAAGGAAACTGCCTACGTAAGGGAATAGATACCCTGAGGTAAGGACCATTGAGGAAACTGCCTACGCAAGGGAATAGACACAGTGAAGGAACTGCCTGCTTAAGGGGATAGATACCCCAAGGAAAGGATCATTGAGGGCCATGGTGAAGCCACTACCACAGCAACAAACTAATTCACCCAAAGTGACACGCATAGGAAGTATTCGTTGTAGGTTTTGTGTGCACGTGTGTTTGTGCATGTGTGGTATGTGGATGTGTGCCTGCTCATACAAGCCTAGGGTCAACAGCGAGCATCTTCCTTGATTGCTTCTGCACCTGGTCTTTGTGACAAGGTCTCTTGTTGAACTTGAAGCTGAATGTGACTAGATTGGCTGGCTTGAAAGCCACACCCACAGGATCCACCTGTATCTACTCACTCCCAGAGCTGGGATTCCGGAGGCTCACCTCCATGCCTGGAGTTTTTATGAGTTCTGGGGATTTGAACTCTGGGACTCAATGCTTGTACAGCAAGCCCTTTACCCACTGGGCTATTTTTCCAGCCTAGAGGCAGGCAGGCTTCGAACTCAGGCAATTACTACACCACAGGCTTGACAATCAGACAAGCAAGTGCCTGCCGATTGTCCCTGTCCTGGAGATATACATGCTTGAGATCCTGCTTCAGATTCCAGTGGTCAGCTGATCAGACACTATCTTATGTGTCAGATGGACGCTTATCAAAGACACAAAATTGAGCATGCTCATAAAAGGTTGTGCAAACATCACTTTATGGTGTGGACTTGCTGTGTCAAAGGGAACCTGGAGTTTAGCTCCAGCTTTGTGGTTGATTTACTATGGGCCCTCAAACAACTTTCAGTCCCTTAGGGAGCCTTTGTTTTCTCATCCATGTGCCAGAATAGTTCAATTCCGATTGGGGATTTCATGCTTACAACTGTTACCAGGAATGCTGAGGGATTCCCTCTCCACATTCCCCGACTCTCCTCAGCCCTTGCCAAAGCGCTTTGAGAACTACCCCTGATTGATGGATGTTTGTCTCCAAGTGAAGTGGACCCTTCAGGTATGAGGGGCACCCTTCTGGACACTCACCAAATCAGGCCAGGCTGTTCAGCCCTGCTTCACCCGCAGCTGGCTGGCACCATTGTTTGTCCATAAAGCTGGGCTCCTTTCCAATTGCTGATGCCCTCTGGCCAGGGGAGAGGCTCAAAGGACTCAGTTGTGTGGCTTCCTCCCTCCCCTAGGGCAGGCCTGGGTCACCCAACAGGCTGACTCAGCCCCTGCAAAGGACAAAGGAGATAGAGATGGTTAAGGGAAAGAATTTGACATTTACTACCCTCCCCCAAATTCAACGTCAAAATAATTACCATGAGGAATATCCCCTTACACTTATTCTGCAGTCCAGTGACATTCTTCAAACATTGGGGTGGGGTGCTGTTTCCAATTTCAGTACTTAGGGACCTGTATAATTATAATTATTTTAAAGATTCATTTTTTATTTTTAAGTGTGTGTGAATATGTGTGTGTGTGTGTGTGTGTGTGTGTGAGAGAGAGAGAGAGAGAGTGTGTGTGTGTGTGTGTGTGTGTGTGTGTGTGTGTGTGTGAGAGAGAGAGAGAGAGAGAGAGAGAGAGAGAGAGAGAGAGAGTGTGTGTGTGTGTGTGTGTGTGTGTGTGTGTGTGTTGTGCATGTGGGTGCATTCACCCACGGCCAGAGGTCAAGTGTCTTTCTCTGTCTCTTCCACCTTATTTTTTGAGAGAAAGTTGCTTGCTGAACCTGGAGTGACACTGGCTGGCAAGTGTGCCCCAGGGATCCACCTGTCCCTATGCCCCTGTGCTGGGGTTATTCATGAGCACTACCACTCTGTTCTTCACGGTGGTGGTTTTTCAAGACCGGATTTCTCTGTGTAGCTTTGGCTGTCCTGGAACTTGTTCTATAGACAAGGAGGACTCAAACTCAGAGATCAGTCTGCCTCTGCCTGCCAAGTGCTGGGATTAAAGGCGTGTGCCACCACTACCTGACTCATTTTTTTCAGTTTTTCCAGACTTGGTTTCTCTGTGTAACAGCTCTGGCTGTCCTGGAACTAGCTCTGCAGACCAGGCTGGCCTTGAACTCACAGAGATTCACCTGCCTCTGCCTCCTTAGTGCAGGGAGTAAAGGCGTACACCACCATCACCCAGCTTGAATTAGTACTTTTTAAATTGCTACTCAGTATTCCTTATTATGTGAGGTTGTGAAAATATACCCAATGCTTATGAGACCCCTTCCTATATGCTTCACGTGCATGTCTCATTTTAAGGTACCAACTGGTCAATATCATTTTACCCATTTTAAAGATGAAGAAGATGGCAGATGTGACTCAGTGGGAGAGCACTTGCCTAGCATGCTCAGTCTTCACTATGAGAGAAAGAAGTAGGGTTAGTGAGAGAAGTAGGGGGAGGGGAAGAGAGAGGGAGAAGGGAAGAGGGGGAGAGGCCTGGAGAGGTTTACAGTCATAACAATATTTTGGCCAATGAGGAAAATGACAGTGGTCCTTTAAGATTACAAAGGAAAGCAGGTCATGGTGGTAATCCCAGCACTTGAGAGACCCGAGGCAGGAGGTTTTCAGTTTTAGACCAGCATGGATGTGCTGGTTAGTTTTATGTCAATTTGACCCAAGCTAGAGTCATCTGGGAAGAGGAAAGCACAATTGAGAAAATGCCTCCATCAGATTGGCCTGTCGGCAAGCCTGTGGGGCATTTTCTTGATTAAAATGATTGATGTGGGAAGGCCAGTACACTGGGCCAGTGCCACCCTTAGGCAGGTGGTCCTGGGTGGTATAAGAAAGCAGGCTGAGCAAGCCATGGAGAGCAAGCCAGTAAGCAGCACTCCTCCATGGCCTCTGCTTTGGTTTCTGCCTCCAGATTCTTGCCTTGATTTCCTGCCCTGACTTCCCTCAGTGATGGACTGTAAGCTGTAAAGTGAAATAAATTCTAGCCCGGCAGTGGTGGCACAGATCTTTAATCCCAGCACTCGGGAGACAGAGGCAGGAGGATCTCTGTGAGTTTGAGCCTCGTCTACATAGTGGGTCCCAGGACAGCCAGGGCTGTTACACAGAGAAACCTTGTCTCAAAACAAAAACAAAAACAAAAACAAGCAAACAGAAAGACGAAATAAATCTTTTCCTCCTCGCATTGCCTTTGGTCACCGTGTTTATCACATCATCAGAAAGTTAACTGGGTCAATGACCTACACAGCAAGGCCTTGTGTCAATACACATACATATATAGTTGGGGCTGGAGAGGGGGCTCAGGAGTTATGAGCACTTGCTCTTGCAGAGAGGACCTGGGATCTGACACCCTCTTCTGACCTACATGGGCACCAGGCACTCACACACTGCACAGATATACATATGAGCAAAACACTCATCCACATAAAACAAATAAATCTAAAATATTTTAAAATTAGAACAAAGCTGAAAAATTCCAATTTCCCAGGGATGCTGTAGTTCCTGTTCCTGTTGTTAGCACTGTTCTGTTCTTGTGCTATTCCTGATGTAAATCCACTGCGTTGCCATCATATGTTACAGCAGTACAATTGTGTATAGTACACAATACAAGATAATGACAATAAACCATGGATCTTAAAAACCTTATTTAAAGCCGGACATGGTGGTGCATGTCTTTAATCCCAGCACTCGGGAGGCAGAGGAAGGCAGAGCTCTGTGAGTTCCAGGATAGCCTGGTCTACAGAGTGAGAGCGAGAGCGAGAGTGAGAGCCTGGGCTACACAGAAAAACCTTGTCTCAAAAAAAAAAAAAAGGAATCTTATTTAAAAAAAAAAAAAAAAAGGTTCATTGTAGCCAGGAAGTGGTGGCACACGCCTTTCATTTTGGCACTCAAGAGGCAGAGGGCAGGTGGATCTCTGTGAATTCAAGGCCAGCTTGGTCTACAGAGATAGTTCTAGGACAGCCAGGGCTACACAGAGAAACTCCGTCTCAGAACACAAAAACAAACAAACAAAAAGATTCACTGTAGAACAGAATGCTTGAGGGGGTCCCTGCAGGTGTCACACAGGGAAGCACCTCAGGAAGAGATAAGAATGAAAACCTAGGCAGATTGACTTCATCAACCCAGACCAGACTTCGGGAAGTCTAATAACAGGCAGTCTGTTCCCAATGTATTTAGTCCAGTACAATTTGGGGAAAAAAAGTTTGCTGGTGTAATACAATCCCCGGCGCACAAAGACACATAACTACACTGAAACTCAACTCAGGTTACATGTCATTTCTTCCAAGAAGATGGGTTCTAGAGATAGGCTACCTGTACTAGCTTAAAGGTCTAAGTGTCTGGCCTGGTTTTAGTCATACAGATAGCATAGAGGTCATGTGGGCTATTAACCACCTCTGGTCCTGGTTGTGGGAGGTTGGGGGAGCCTCTGGCTATCAGGGTCATTTAGATTACCAGCCACCTCCCTGTCTTGGTTGTAAGAGCTTGATAAGGTCTGGCCCAACACAGAACACAGATCACCAGACTGTTAATCATTTCCACTTCTCAGCTTTCTGGATGGAAGAACGGGTTTTTCATCTTTCGCATTGGAAAGACAGTCCTGTGTGCTTAGCATTCCTGGTTTCTCTGGAGATCTGTGGGCACAAGGACTGTCATGCTATGTTCTCAACAAATGCCGTAGGCTGGCACTGTGGCACAGGCCTGTAATTCCAGCACTGGAGAGGTGAAGACAGGAAGATCAGGAATTTAAAGCCATCCACAGCTACATCATGACTTCAAGGAGCCCAACCTGGGCTATATATGAGACCCTGTCTCAAACCAACCAACCAACCAACCAATAGGAAAAACAAAAGTGTGCTATGTTACACCCACAGCAGCCTTCCCCATCTTGTTTCTATGTCTCGATTCCACCAAGAGGCCATGTGGAGTGGCTGCCGTATGTATACCATCTAGGCTTGCGTAAGTACCCTCTGATGTTTGCGCAATGGTAAACTGCCTGATGACGCATTTCTCAGGATGTAACTCTGCCAGATAAATGAAGGATGATGTCTCTCACAAGTGAGTTCACTTTTGACCTCAAACTGACTTCTAAAACAGAAGTCATTTGTCCATTTCTTCCTCCCTGGCATGTATTTAGGCTACCGCCCACCTTTCCCCTTTTAAAAAAATGTCGTTAAAGTGGACATCCTTGTACATACTACTTTACATCTACATGGATGTCTCCTAGGGTGGGTTGTGATTGTGCATTTCAGAGTCAATAATTGGGTAGGGGAATCTTATCTTTTCGTTTTGTTTTGTTTTCCTAGACAGGGTTTCTTGGCTGTCTTAGAACTAGCTCTGTACACCAAGCTGGCCTCGAACTCACAGAGCTCCACCTGCCTCTGCTTCCTGAGTGCTGGGATTAAAAACATGCACCACCACTGCTCAGCTAAGGGATCATTACCTTTTTTATATACTGAAATTGCTTAACGTTTCTCCCGAAAGTTGTTTTGCTGTTTTGCTCTGTTTATTTTTTAAAGATTTATATATTTATATTCTATTGTGTATGGGTGTTTTGCCTGCATGTATGTCTGTATACTATATGTATGCAGTGCTCATGGAGGTCAGAAGAAGGCATCTGTGGTGGTTTGAATGAAAATGGCCCCCATAGACTCATAGGGAGTGGCATTATTAGAGGTGTGGCCGTGTTGGAGGAAGTGTGTGATGGTGGGTGGGCTCTGAGGTTTTAGAAGCTCAAGCCAGGCCCAGTGCCACTCTCTTTTTCTGCTGCCTGCCTACCAGGATCTAGAACTCTCAGCCACCTCTCCAGCACCATGTCTGCCTGCATGCTGCCATGCTTCCTGCTGTGATAATGGACTAAATCCCTGAAACTTTAAGCCATCCCCAGTTAAATACTTTTTTTTTTAAGAGTTGCTGTGGTCATGGTGTCTCTTCACAACAACAGAAGCCTAAGACAGCACTGGATCCCCAGCAGCCACATAGGTACTGAGAACCTTACCCAGGTCCGCTGCAAGAGCAGCCAGTGCTGAGCATTTGTGCAGCATCTTAGGTACCACAGACTGACCTTGAATTTGCTGCTAATTAGCCAAATATGACCATGCTAGGCAAGCACTCTGCCAGCTGAATTACCTCTCTAGCTGCAGAAAGCCCTTTTTAACTTTCATCTTACCAACTGGAGATCTTAGTGTCTCCCTGAAAAGTATAGAATTTGGAACATACCTGAGTCTGCTCCTGCTTTTCTAGCATGACTTTGGCCTAATTATTTCTTGTTTTCCTCTATTAAATATATATGTATA